TGATGGTGATATTAGTTCAATTTAGATAGAAAAGTGAAGATTTATAAAGCTCGCGCCAATTGTCCTTGTTGTTCATATAACATCATTTAGGTGTGTAGCGTTCGTTACACATAATCATATTGGATTATCCCTTTATATTTTCCCCCCTCACATCCATGAAAGCAATTAAAAAGTAGAGAAAATATCCAAACTTATCCTTCAAATTGGTGAAATGATCCAAATCTATCTTCTGTTAATAATTGGGGTCAAATGTACTTTTACCATTATAAATTGGACCAGTTATGCAGTGAGATATTTATTTTGATTCTTTGTTTGACATCACTTGTACAGAACCATGCTTGCTTGATTAGAAGTTGGAACAATACTATTAGAGCAACCAGGAAATTGTCTTGGGGAAAAAAGGAAAAGAGAAACAATTCGGGAGTCTGGAACCTAAACATTGTTTTTTGGACTCAAATTACCTTAATAGATATTTTTAAAAAAATGCATTTTTATATATAGCATGCAAATACAAGACGCTATACATTAACGGTAACATCTGTCGTTAAGTTATATCGTCTTGTATTCATACGCTATACATATAGCGCCCAAAAAAAATATTATACCCTGAATATGGACCCACCAATAAGTAAACTGACAAACACAATAATTTAAATGTGTATAGCGTATATTTAAAGAATGCTATTGTAACGACCCGACCGGTCGTTTTGAGCTTTTGTACTTTGACGCCAGTTCTCGGGCATGAGTTGCCCCGTGTAATGTATTATGACTGATGTAGATTGTTGGTTTTGGTTTTCAGGAAAAAATCGGAATGAATTTGAAGGAACAGTCTCAGTTGAAAGCTTTGAATTTGAAAGGTTGACTAAGAGTTGACTTATTTGTATATGAGCTCGGATCGGAAATTTTATGATTTGGATAGTTTTGTTGGGTGATTTATGACTTAGAAGCGCGATCGGAATGCATTTTGGAAGTCCGTGGAAGGATTTGGCTTGAATTGGCAAAGTTAGTATTTTGGCGAATTCCGGTTGATAGATGAGATTTTGATCCGAGGGTCGGAATGGAATTCCGATAGTTGTTGTAGCTTCATTATGTCATTTGTGATGTGTGTGCAAAATTTTAGGTTATTCGGACATCGCTTGGTCGGGTTTTTGATCGAAAGTGTATTTAGGAAGTTTTTGGAAACTTAGGCTTGAATTCGATGAGTTTTGGGTAATTTGATATTGTTTGAGGTCTTTTGATGATTGGAACAGGTTTGAACGATGTTATGAATTATGTTGGCATGTTTGGTCGGGGTCCCATGAGGCTAGGATAAGTTTTGGAAGAGTTTTTGGAAGATTTTGCCGTTTTGAGCATAAGCATGTAATGATCCAAAGGACCATTTTTAGTTCTAGAGATCGAAATTTGATTTTGAGACTTCCGGAATTTTGATAATGAATTATAGGACTGATCTGGAAAGTGTCTAATTTCATCAAGTCGCGATTGGGTTTTTGACACGAAACATGAGTTAATTGTTTAACGAGCGAAATGAGTATTGAACTGAGCAAATGAGCTCCGAATTGAGTTTCGACTGAAGGACTATGTTCATATTATTATTTGTGACTCATAGTAACAAGAATAATCGAATTCCGAGTTCGTATGATGGAGTTAGAGCCTTTTAGTGAAAAGAAAAGCTGCTGCAATTTTCTGGGCAGTTTCTGCATTTTTCGCACATGTGAACAGTAACAGCACCTGTGAACAACATCCGTGTACAGTAAACATGAACAGTATCTGTGTACAGTACATATGAATAATACCTCGTATACAACACCCATGAACAGTACCCATGAACAGTAAAATGCGTGAACAGTAACCCCGAAATTTTTTGGACAGTGTATGATTTCGGCAGTCCAAGAGTTTTCTCATTTTTGGAGCTATGGAGCTCGGATTGAAGCGATTTTCGAAGCGATTTTCACCATATGGATTGGGGTAAGTGTTTTATATCCAAAAGTGATTATATTTAATGATTCCATGGTTATTTTGATCAAGAATTAGTGAATCAAATGGAAGAAATTGGAGAAAATTTGTAAACTTTTCAAAAACAAAAATTCTAGATTTGGAGGCCGAATTGTTATCGGAATTTAGTAATTTTGGTATGGTTGGACTCGTGGTTGAATGGATTGTCGAATTTTGTGAGTTTCGTCGAATTCCGAAGCGTGGGCCTGGGGGCCGGTTTTGAGCAATTTCGGGATTTTGATGTTAAATTGGATATTTTCGAGTGGGCTTCGCTCCCTTAGCATATTTTAATGATTATGTACTGATTGTGTCTAGATTTGGAGCATCCTGAGGTCGATTTGTGCGGGCGAGGCATCGCGGGCTAGATTTTGGATCGGATCGAGGTAAGTAATGATTGTAAATACTGTCCTGAGGGTTTGAAACCCCGGATTATATGTCGTTGTGTTACTTTGAGGTGACTTGCACGCTAGATGACGAGCATGGGGTAGAGCACCGCTGGGAATTGTGACCTAGTCCATCCTGAACGAATATTTTAATGCGTATTTGATAGTTAATTGTTTGACATTATTATATTTTTGGGTTGTATGCCATTTTGGGGCCTTGTGCCGACTTGTTGAGACCCTTAGAGGCATTTTTACTATCTTTCATCACTCTATTTGTTTGAAAACATATTCTCAGTCATGTTTTACCTGTTTACTGCTCAAATCTGGCTTTATCACTATGTTCTTAAAATGTGGAAATTGTTTTGGGCTGAGTTCCCTGTTTTACTGAGATAGACCGAGGGTCTGATTGTGAGATTGATGACTGAGATACACTGAGAGTCTGATGGTGAGGTTAATGACTAAGAGAGGTCGAGGGCCTAGTTGTGAGGATTATATATCTATGGATCGGGCTGCAGGCCGCAGCAATGTATATATATGTATATGGATCGGGCTTCACGCCGCAGCGATACTTATATGGATCGGACTGCGCGCCGCAGCAATATAGCGTTTGGGCTGTAGGAGCCCCTCCGGAGTCTGCACACCCCCAGTGAGCGCAGTCGACTATTTATATGGATCGGGCTGTGCGCCACAGCGATGCATGGATCGAGCTGCACGCCGCAGCGGTTACTTTGATTTCAATTATTGTGAGAGATACACGGAGAGCTGCACGCTGCAGCAGTTACTATATGGTACCAATTGAGCATGAATGTTTGAGTGCGAGTATTGATTGGTAAGAGTTGAGTCACGAGTGACAGAGAGGCTAGCCCGAGGGGCGATAGATATATACATGCATATGAGTGATGTTTTTGCCTGAGAGGCTTGTTTATGGACTTATTAATTTCACTCCTCTTTAAAGTGAATTTCTATCGAATATGTTGATTTATCGACTGTTTTCACTTATCTTTATATTGAGCCTCTGTCGGAAAGTTGAACAAATATTTTAAAACAACTTTTATTTAAACTGGGATTTATGAGATGTTCAGAAATTAATCAATGATTTGGCATTGGTTATTTCCACTGAGATTTTTAAGTTATGAAGTGTTTATGATTACTGTTTTGCCCAAGGGGCTGTTTTACAAACTATGTTTTGCCCGAGGGGCCGATTATGGCTTTAATCTCTATTATTATCTTAAATGGTATTGAACTCCTACCGAAACTGCTGGAAAGTATTTCAAATGATTTTTACTAAAAGCTGGATTTTAAAAGAGAGGATTGACTTATATTATGATTTGAAGGCCTGTTGTGTTTATTAAGCCTAACGTGAATGTGGATTCATTGTTTCATACTGCTCTGCCTTTATTTACTCTTATTACTTACTGGGTTGGAGTACTCACATTACTCCCTGCACTTCGTGTGCAGATTCAGGTATATCGGAACCAGGTAGCGGGTGTTGATAACTCAATCGCAGAGTCATCAGAGTTAGCAAGGTGGATGCATGACGTTCGCAGCACCGCTTCCTTCCCCTCATTGTTGTTACTATATTAGTACATTTTTAGACTTTTGTTGTATTCAGACCTTGATAGTTGCTCATGACTAGTGACACCCCGATGTCGGGCTGGTATTTTATTCCGCACTATTATTCCAGGATTTTATTATGAAACATTGTTTAATTTAAAGACTTAAAAATGACTCTTAATGCTCAAAGGGTTAAGGTGAGTGTTGTGTCGGCTGGCCTTGTCTTCACGAGAGGCGCTATCATGACCGGGCCAGTCTGGGGTCGTGACAGCTATACGACAAAAAAATTCCATATCCCGGGCTAGCCATTTCCTATATAAAGTAGTTAGGATTTTAGAAAAATTCGTTCACATATAAATCTAACTCCCGTTCAATTTTTTCTTGTTGTTAAATTTTGAAGCATTTTTTTCGTAATATCTGAAGAGCGTAGAATAAGAGTTTCATTATATTGAGGGGTGATGTTGTGATGGAGAATAACTCTATGAGGTATAGTTTATCTCTAGAGGGTCATGTTAAATTGCCACTTACAATAGAGTACGATAAATTGATATCGTTGTTATGCAAAAAAATGGGTGTGAGGAAACGTTCAGTGATACTTAAAGTAACCAGAAGATATCCGTATTCCGTCACTCCGCAAGAGGCTGCTTTTTACTCAGAGTTAAACATCTACGATGATGAAACTTTGAGGGATTTTCTGAGGACTCCAGATAAATACCGAAAATATTTTGTAATAAATATGTTGGATATGTACGTCAAGGTCGAAGACGTTCCAAACAATGAGGTTGCCGGACAGGTTCCGGATAACCCCCAGTCATCGGGTGGCTATTCTGGAGGATTTTTTGCCGGACAGGTTCCGAATGAAAGAGTTTTCCTTGATTTAAACTTATCCTCACATGCTTTACATAATTCACAAGACGAGTGGTAAGCTTCAATTTTCCTTTGTGTTACAATGTAATAGAGTAACTCATCTAGCAGCTGAAGATGATGCAAAAATCTAAGGCTGACTAGGTTCCTCGAAGTGTTCGGGAACAAGACCCCTCCAAATAGAAGAAGCAACAACAACCTCGTATACTAGGTGATATGTACCTCCTCTGTATCGTCGGTGATATCGGGGTGGAGTAGCTCCAGGTGCTGTCTAATAGGGGTCAAAGTCAACCGACTAGCACCCGATGATGAAATCTCGTCCTGTGGCCTGAAACCCGTGAGTTGCTGCAGCATGTCCAAATAAGCATCACGCGACATAGATCTCATAGCAATAGGCAGTGAAACGGGCATGCCATCAACGGGCAGGCCATATAAAACCTCAACGTCCTGCAGCGTGATGGTAGCTTCGCCAATGGGCAGGTGAAAAGTGTGCGTCTCCGGTCGCCACCACTCAATCAATGCCGTGATCAAAGCCCAATCAACCTGTATCCGCCCGATCTCAATAATCCTATAGAATCCCGTGGCCTGGAGGCGATGGACTACATGATCGTGGAGAACTCTGTGCCTCAGAAAATCCCACAGGTCGTCCACTCTCCTAGCCCGTAAAGTCTGGGAAAGTAACTCTCCCTCCCATATATGGGTGGACCTATGATCGCCCTGAAGCACTAATAGCTCACGAGAGTAAGGGCTGGGATGTATAGGCGCGTCCATGTCGTCAACTGTAAATTAAACAACATTAATTGTATGTTTATTATTTAATTGTACAAAGTATACATAATAATTGGGTTCCAGACTCGATATTTGAAGCCCAGTAGCACTAAACTATCATGAATATTTATGTGTGTCAAATTCAATTTTTTGATAATTTTGTGTGTGTTTGTTTTATAATTTAAATTATAAATTTTTAATTATTTAATTGTATAAAGTATATATAACATCTGGGTTCCGGGCTCTATATTTGAGGCCTAGTAGCACCAAACTATCATGAATATTTATGTGTGTCAAATTCAATTTTTTGATAATTTTGTGTGTGTTTGTTTTATAATTTAAGTTCTAAATTTTTAATTATTTAATTGTACAAAGTATGTATAACAATTGGGTTCCAGGCTCGATATTTGAGACCCAGTAGCACCAAACTATCATGAATATTTATGTGTGTCAAATTTCATTTTTTGATAATTTTGTGTGTGTTTGTTTTATAATTTTGATTATTTAATTGTACAAAGTATATATAAACCATTATAAGAAATACTTAAATTACAAGGATTCTACGCTAAAATACTATACAGTTTACTACACTAAAAGTTTCTACATTTTAATACGCTAATAAATAAACTAAATATAAATAACAAATACATTTTAATCACATAACATTAACAAAAATACATATAACATACTAGTTTCGCAAATAAAACACAAAACGACATGGAAACACTAATATCTAAATTCGGATATTAACATAAAAAATTAAATCTCAATTTTATATTTTTTTTAGAACACTAATATCTAAGTTCGGATAAATATAACATACTAGTTTCGCAAATAAAACATAAAACGATATGGAAACACATTCAATAGGCAGTGATATACATTATTATACAAGTTTAGACATAAAATAAATCGAAATACCTCGATGTAGTGGGTGTTTTGTGAGAAAATTTGAAGACGAATGAGTTAAACCACAATAATACAACGCTCTACTACGATGTGGGACCTACGTTCTTAACCTTTTGTGTGACAGGAGGGGCTACAATTTTTTTTTAAGAACGGGCAGTGGGGGGACCAGAAGCAGTGGGATTTTAAAAAAAACGGGGGAAAGAGTTCTGGTCGGGAAAGAAGACGAAGGGCAGTATTTAAAAGGGTGTATAGCGTATGAAAAAAACGCTATATATAGCGTACAATAACAAGACGCTATATATGACAGTCAAATCGTCAGGCCATATAGCGTGCAATTACAATACGCTATACCTTAATGACAAAAGTTGCCGTTAAGGTATAGCGTGTTGTAATTGCACGCTATATATAAATATTTTTTTAACACCTATTAACGTAATTTGAATAAAAAAGACAATATTTAGGTTCCGGACTCACAAATTCCGGGGGTAAAATGAGATAAGAGAGTAGCGAGTTTTGTGATTTAGCAAAGATAAGGGTTTAAGGGCGAAATTGGGAATAAAAGAGAAAACCCACATTGGTACGTTATCCACCCAAGTCTCAGAAAACCCCATTTTCTCACACGGCAACTTTCGAGCGGAGAAAATAAGGTTTGTGTAGATACCATTTTTCAATTCTCTAATGGGCGAGGGAAAGCAAGGAGTGATGGTAGTGGAAATGCCGAATAGCAGTAGCCAGAACCCAATAACGCAGTTACAGAACAAGTTCAAGGAATTGGAGATTGGGTTCAAGGGCTGGCTAGCCAAACAGTCGCTTCCGGTTGAAGCTGCTGTGGTGACTGCAACCAGTGGACTACAGGGTGCTGCTATCGGTGGCTTTATGGGAACGCTTACACAGGATGTTTCTTCCTCTTTGCCTACTCCTCCCCCGGCTGCCAATCTCAATCCTCAAGCTATGGCCTCTTTTCAACAAGCCCAGGTATTTGTTTAGGTCATATAGGATTTTATTGTGCTTTTACCAATTAAAGCACACTACAATCAATTCTAATTTATGTGACATAGTTTGAATTGGCAGCTAGTTTATGAACTTTTCATTAAGGCTAAAATGAGAAGTGTAAAGTCAACTGTTTTCAAATATAGAAGTGTGTAATACTTTCTGAAACAGACTACTAAGGGAATAGTGTCACATAAACTTAAATGGATGTAGTATCTATATGTTAACCGTAGTAGGTTTTGTTTCTTGAGTGCAGGAGTTGTTATATGGGCTTTGATTGTGCTTATACCACAATCACTAATATTTACTTGCTTCGTTGTTGTTATTATATATATGCGCTATAAAGTTCTTTACCCATAAGTTCTATCTGAAGTTAAATTATTCTATCATGAGTTAATATAAATGAATGTGGTTAAGCCAGAACATCATTGGAGGAATTCAAGTTGAAATATTTAAGACTGACTGCTAATTTTTTTGATGGTTAAGGAATGTAATTGATTTTTCGGTTTCAGGCTCTTGCAGGAGGTCCATTAGTTCAGGCCCGTAATTTTGCTGTCATGACAGGTGTTAATGCTGGAATTTCTTGTGTCTTGAAAAGAATTAGAGGCAAAGAGGATGTCCAGTCCAGGTAAGCCTATTTTTACTGGATTCCTGTTAGACAAAATTTGTCGGTCAGCTTTTATAATCAGCTTGTTTACAAAAGTAAAGCTGCTAGTAGTTGACCATTTTGATCTTAAGTTGATTTTGCAGGAGAATCATTAATGTTGCTATTTTTTTTTTACACACTTCTCTGTCCTCTATAGGTTAGATTTCAGGAGCATGTCCACACAAACTGCTTTAGTAGTATAATTACCCTTAAGAATTTGGATACTGTCTCCCCCTCCCTAGGAAGAGGACATGCTTCCCAAGTTGGCTGTCACTTCAGTATTACAGTAACCTTACTCCTCTCCTGTTAAAATTCATGCATCCATTTTGGTTGCACATTTGGTTTTCGTTATAGACCAGGCAAAGCAAATTAGGTTTCAATTACACCTTTCATTTGAACCAACGAAGTCTTTTCGCCATCTCTTCTCTAACACCTTTACCTTCCTATTTTTTTCATTTAAAAACATTTAGCAGTGTGGATGTCCTGGTTTGTGACCTCATTGAACACAGACAACCCCAATCTGGTTTCTGTTATCGATTTTTATCCTGACCTTTCATTTTTCCTTTTTCTCATTGACAAATTCTTTGACTATGCATCTTTTTGTTTATGGTAGTTGTTTGAGATTGATAAATCATTTTTTTTGCAGTATGGCAGCTGCCTTTGGTTCTGGAGCACTGTTTTCATTAGTTAGTGGCATGGGTGGCCCAAATCCAGTACCCAATGCTTTGACATCTGGCATTTTCTTTGCCCTTGTTCAAGGTGGACTGTTTGAGGTAATACTGATGTAACAAATGGCATACAATGATGCACTCATGTCTCTGAGCAACCCCCCTTTCACCCTCCTTCGCGCGCGCGAGAGAGAGCCAACTTCTTCATATATCTGTGGAGAAAAGATAATAGTTTTTATATTAATGTGACAATATCAGCGTGCTTATTTATAAATAAAACGTAATAATAGTATTGGCATGCTACATTATAAAAGCATTCCCCTCGCGTATGGCAAAGCTGATCTGATTTTTTCTTTTACCTTTTACTTTATGACTGGAGTTTGGTTCAATCCAGTACTCTGTATTCTCGTGTCATTAGACTTGTACGTCTGATAGTATGCCAATCCCTAAGTCAGTTTGATTTGTTGTTTTTCTTCCACAAGTTTTGAGTTTGGTTTCGTTCTGAATAATTACGCCAATCCCACCAATGAAGTACAGTAGCTGTGACTTGATACAATTCATGTTCATTGTCATCCTAATTTGTTTTTGTTTCTAGGTCCGTTCTCAGTTAACAGTTGTACTTGGAACTGGGAACTTAAATATGAGATTTCAGTGTATTTAATGGACACACTGACTTGGACTTCTAAAATGAGCAGTAAGATGTGAATTTCCTCCCTGTTTGAAAATTAAAATATCCAGTTCACCAATATCCTGATCTTTTAAGTTTTCTGTATGTTCTTTTTCTCTCCCTCTCCTCTCTTTTAAAGTTAGAAGGTCAGTATTATGGTTAAGTTTATAATTGGCAGGTGATACTTCACTAGAAATTTTTTGGAGTACTCAAAATAAAAGTTCAAGTTAATCTTGTCCCCAAGGCTTTGGTCTAATGATAAGAGCGCAACACATGATGTCTGGGTTAGGCGTACATCAAGGGTTTGTGCCGCATACAAAAGCCTGGTATTTAAATGGATAAGGGTTGAAGGGCAGGCTCATTATCCATGGAGTTTCAAATCGTGTGCCACTGGCCTGGGCGATTTCTAAGATTATTAAAACAATGAGTTAATCTCAATCAAGCTGCATTATAAATCCTCTACTTATGTCATTAAAAGAGCTTCTTACGGCCAGTCAGACATGTATCTCTTGTATCACTTTATTTTGGCTTTGAGGTCCATCTGCTAAGAAGATAAATTTAGAATTCTTGTATGAAGAGACCTTTAGGGCTGTTGGGGTGTGAGAAGTAGCAGTTGTCATTCCCTGTTGGCACCTAGTTTGTTGGTCTGGGATAGAGTGATAATGTCGATATCTCTTCATCCTTAAAATCTTCTCTAATTGGTTTGTGCAGCTTGGACGGAAGTTTTCGCAGCCACCTGCTGAAGATACACATTATATCAGAACCAGATCAATGTTGTCAAGCCTTGGCCTGCAAAATTATGAAAAGAATTTCAAGAAAGGGCTGTTGACAGACAACACTTTGCCGTTGCTCACTGATAGGTAAGACAGATTGCATCATGCAACTATATTATCCTATGCATTTCTCATGATTAAACCTCATTTCATTCTCCTGTTTGCAGTGCTCTTAGAGATGTGAGGATCCCTCCTGGGCCAAGGCTTCTAATTCTTGATCAGATACAGAGGTGAAATAATGCTTCATGCTAATTAACTTTCTGTTGAACTCTTTTAGTGAATGAAATCATTAAATAGCCTGTTGGAACTTTTTGCTCTAGGGATCCGGAACTCAGAAAGAGACAAGGATG